TTGTGGACCCAATACACCCAGGTGGCTGGAGTTCTGGGAGAGTGTGTGTTTAAGCTATGGGGAGCTGAAGGGGTCAGTACTAGCCCAGGGACTAGGCAGTTGGTCTGGGAGGTTTCAGCTCTCAGGAGGAGGTGCTCCCCTAGTGTGTGCCTAGGGATCCCCAGTGAGGAGCAGTGCATGGATTCTGTTTAGATGCCAGAGGCTTAAAGCTCACCGGATCCAGTGGTTAGATCCCCTCACAGCAGACTGGTGAGTGGCACTCGACTGGAGTTGTGACAATGAGATGTATGTAACTAAGGGTCATGTACGCAGACTTTGAATAGCATGACAAATCCAGTTCATGTTAGTAGGACTTTTTATGGGCATAGCTAAAATGCTATCTAGTATTTTTTGTTTTTTTATGACAAATTTTGGCAAACAAAGTGACATAAGTGGCTTGTAAAACTACTAAACCTAATCCCATGCACAACAACATTTCAGAGGGAAATAGGGTGTAATCTGTTTTTACAGGATTTTCCTATATTCAAACCCAGAAAGCTTCATACCAAATCTTATCTGAAAACATTAACTAACTTTTGTGCCTACTGTATTTATTGAAGCACATGTGCTCTATAAAATCAGTTTGGAGATCCATGCAATAAGCAGGCAGAGGAATGAAAAGTGAAAAAGTGCGTTTTTAATCTAGAATTTCCTTGCCTTTGTCAGCTTTATTCAGACCTAGTTTTTTGTATTTATGCACTTGATCACTCTGTTCTCTAAGAAAAATCATTTTGTGCAGCCAAGTTTCCTTTATGCTGCTTTAGTCCTTTCTTTCATTGATCTAAAAAAGATACAAAATACATGTTTCTATATGTAAATGCGCATTATGACTTTCACTGTTCATATGCTTAGTCACACATAGATACTGTGGTACCCCTGGGGCAACCTTAATAACATCATAGAAACTGAAGTGCACATTTTTTTCTCTGTCCAGCTGTGCAGATTCAGATCTGGTATTTTCAGGCTTGTTTCCAATCACCACAATATTGTGACAGCTCTTAAAATTCACTCTTCCTTGCCGGGGGAGAGAGGCACTACCCAGACAGAAAAAAGAGCAATCATGCAGTGACAGGGTATTGCCACTGCTTGTTATAGTTTTGTAGTAAACATCAATCTTGTGTTATCAGTACAGTCACAAGCATAGCAAGTAATGGGGGTGGTGGGAAAAGAAGAGCACACTAAACAGCATTTTAAAAAAATGTGCAGTTCATTTTATCTGTCACATGCACATTTTACTTACTTGCTCTCTATGTATTCAAAACTAGAGAGAGAGACTCTGAAGGGAAGTAGCAGAAACCCCTTTCTGCTAGGTCATTTAAAGCTGGACTGGACAGCACACTAGAAAATACTGCAGGGAGCAGTCTTGCTTGGGCAGGAGGACTAAGATGACTTTGCAGACCTGTAATGCAGACAATTGGAAAAAAGAAATATGCATTTGTTTCAATGTAAACAAGATATTAGTTCTTTCTGTTGAAGTGACATGAATTGTCTGTACTGTAGCTGACAGCAACTTGTGCAGCTGGCATTTCTCAGGTGTGTTTGCTTTCTGCGCCCTGGCTGGCATTGCAGAGCATGAGCGCACCGAGGTGCTGAAGTGCCACAGGCAAAGATTCAATCATCAGCAACTGATACCAAAAGGACAGATTTGTTGCTAATTTACAGACATGCAGCCAGCTTTTGGAAGGAAACAGTCCTGTGTAGACAAACTGGCCTTAGATTTCCCAAAACATTGCCATCAAAGACAAATGCTTCTGACTTTATTACTGTAATTCATTTGAAATCCCCTCAAGTGACTTTTGGCAAGAGATTTGCAAAAGCAAGATTAAAGCAGGATGAAAAAAATAATTACAAGGTTTCTTCAATTGCCACGTTGTTCATTTTAAGATGATACATTGATTTATGTAGGTGCTACTTTAACTGCTCTACACACCTCACATGAAATAACTTAGGCTCTGATCCTACAAGCTATTCCATGCAGGTGGCTCCCTCCACAAAGTTTTTGTGGTTCAACCTAGACCAGTGATGGGTTGTCTGGATGCCTTAAATGCTACACTGCTGTGGCTCACAGCCTGAACACCACCATCCAACAGACATGCATGAAGGTCACCTACTGGCTTCCACCGCCCAGTTTCTGTTTGCCCCAACATCCCCCAGTCCCAAATTTCCACAAAACTGTCTCCCTGAAGTGTCCAGCTTTCTCCTAATTAAGTGTGCTGCTCCTTTAAAGAGACAGAATTAGCAGCTTGTTATCTTGACTGGAGTGAACAATCACTTCTGCTCAGTCACAGCATGGCTTGGTTTAGATAAAAAGTAAAACAAATTTATATGGTCAAAAAGATAGGACAGACATGGTTACACACAAAGGTAAAATTATACTTCTAAAACTAACACTTAACTCCAGCAAGTTACATTCTTTGTTCAAGGTAGTTTCCTTATCAATCTTCATTTTCCAACTGTGGCTGATTACTTCTTAGTTAGGATTCCCATAGAGGCCAAGGCGCTGGTTTTCCTTGTCTCCTTAGGTGAAAGATCACTTAGGGGTTCTCTGCCTCTCTCTTTGTAGTTCAGGAAATCTTTGAAAACTCTCTCTCTCAAAGTTCATTGACTCTGCTTCAGGAGTCAGGAAGACTTCCTAGGGTGCAGTCTCCATCCCCTGTTGAGATTAAGTGATCACTTTTCTCCCACTTGCTCTCCTGATGGCCTTTTTAGCCTGGCATGCAAATGTAGTTTTCATTGCCTTTGGTCAACGGAACCACATTCTCTTGTCTGGAAAAAAAAATGCTTATCAGCTCTCCCTGACATGTCTGGTTTAAACATGTTAGTCATAATTCCAGTATATCCATATAAAGCTTTGTGGATTGACAATACATACATCACGCAAGAATATTAATGATCACTGAGTTATTAGTCTTCCAATGACATATTACATGACACCTTTTAGAGACAGATATAACAACTGGGAGTTGGGGTACACAGAGCTGGTCAGGCCAACAGAAACTCCCTGCTAGATACCAGGGAGCTTCTGGCATAGGGATGCTCTCAGGATTGCAGATTCTCTGCCACTAGCATCCTTCCTATGCAGAATAATTTGCAGGATTGGTGCCATAGTGCTCAATTGTGCCGTTTGACTAAGGACTACAAGATCAGACCTTAGATTAGTCTTCTTTCTAAAGTTCAAAGGGTTGCTTCCATTCTCATTGACTACGATAGGCGCAAGATCAGACTCACAGGGCTTTTTTCTAATGCACCAACTAAGGGCTAAATCCTGCTTTCCTGGCTCTCAGAAGTACCTCCACTGAAGTCATTGGGACTGAAAACTCCAAGGCAGTGAGGCAAAGAGGCCCTTGCTGACTGACCCCCTATTAGTTGCAAGAGCTGTGATGGGGCTTATTAGGCAAACAGGGGAAATGGTCTAAGCACTCTAATCCTAGCCATCAGTTTCATCCTTTCTTTTCTGGTATTGTTAAAAGCAGTTGTTTAAGCATTAATGCTTAAGACCATTAATCAAAACCAGAGTTTGTATGAACACACACTGCTAAATTACAGCCAAACCTGGTGCTACTAAAAGCTCACCAGTGGCAGGCAAATGGCTCTAATGTGAAGTGAGTCATTTAAAAGGTACATATCCCTTTAATATCCTGAGTTAGTCATTCCTAAAGATAGGAGGGCAGGTAGTGCTATCACATTCATTAACAGGAGTCTTAATACTGATACTGAAGTACAGGTAATTACAGTAGATGTTTCTGGAGTAGAAATAACTGTGCATTGCATCTCTCTCTCTCTCTCACACACACACATACAAATACTTGAATTTGCATGAATCATTTGGTTTAAACACTGTATGAACCTGCTTCTGTTGTCTGATGCTTAATCAAATTCAATATATAGTTTGAAGGAGACAGATGAGTTTAATTTAGTCTCGACTTTTCTCTTTCTTCCCACTACAGAAATAAAATGAAGAAGAAGCAGAAGAGAAAAATCATAATAAAGGTGAGATACAAAAGCAGTTAAAGCACTGTGGTTTGTGTATTGCACCGCACCATTATATGAGAGTATTAAGGATGCAGTTAATGCAGGTATGTCATTTAAAAAGTGTTCAAGTAGGCTAAATACACCCACTGGGTCCAATTTTCCAAATGCAGATACTTTTAATAGGACAATAAGATCTTGTAATAGGATGCTCAAACTGGCACTTATGTGCATACAATGGGAATGCCCATGCTTACCTATTGATCTTAGCATTCAGATGCAGGATTCAAGTGTCCTAGTAACACATGCACAATGAAAACAAAGCTCCCATTCTCATATGTCACAGAGGATAGAGCTGAGGAAATAACCAAGGACTTATTCCAAAAACGTAGCGTCCTTTTCTGTTGCAAATGGTCTGGGACCACTTAACAACTTTCTCCAGTTTGCCCTTTATTCAAACTTGGTCACAATGACACACTAATTTTCTGCGAATAATTCTTGCTCATGGGCTGTTTGTGACTACTCAGAATGATCGGAAATTTAAGACGTGTGGTTCTTTTTGATTGACGGGATAGGTCACGTGGCTTTGTTTCGGTTCCCCAGGTGGTAGGCCAGAACTCTGAAAAGGGGGTTGGGTGTGAGTACTTGTGCTGAGGACTCAGCGCTGCTCGGGCCGGGCTCGTGGCGTCTGGGGGCAGCTGTGTGTGCACTAACCCGCCGCACGCAGCAGCGCGCGCGCCACTTTCCAGGACTTCTGTACTTCCTGTCCTGCCGGGGACAGCGGGGTGGGGTGGGGCGGGGAGGGGGAGAGAGACCAACGGGTTCCTGCTGTAGGAGGCACCGCCTGCTCCCCGCGCCGCCAGCGCCCCCCGCGGCTCCCCTGCAAAGAGGGGCGGGCCCGACGGCGCCCCCCCTCCCGGTCACCGCCCCCCTGCCCGCAGTTGGTCCGCTCCCGGAGCCAATAGGCTGTCGCGCCGAGTGTGGGTTCGGGGGCAGCGACCAGCGCGGAGTTTGCGCCGCGGCAGCGCGGGGCGCAGCATGGGGCAGTGTCGGTGAGCGCCGCTCTGGCCAACCCGCCTCCGCCAGGCCAGCGTCCCTCCTCCCGCGGCTGCAAAGTTCAGTCTCCCCGCGGGTCCCAGGGCGGCTGCCGCTCCCTCCCCCTGCCAGGAGCCGGCGGCTCGTTTCCTCTTTCGCTCCTCGTCGCCTTTCTCTGTTCGCAGCCCGAAGCGGAGCCGCCGCTCCAGGGACCGCGGCCGCCGCCGAGCAGCAGCAGCGAGCGCTTCACTTCGCGCGGGTCGGGCGAGGGAGCGTCCCACCCCGGCAGCCGGAGCGCGGCGAGACCAGCCCAGCCCCAGGACCTGGTAAGAGCGGTGGCTGTGCCCCCTTGGCGTGCTGCTGGGGGGGGACCCGCCTTCGGCTTGATGCTTGTTTTCTCTTCTCCCACTGTGAGCCACCCCCCCTTACCCTTCTCCGGGGGGGGTGAGTTAATCGGCTCATCTCCTAGTCTTGGGAAGAGGGGAAATGTAACCAGGCTGCAAGCAGGGTTTTGCAACAGTTGAGCTCCCCTTTCATACGGCCGGCGATTTTCCAATGAGTTTGGGTTTAAAACCTCCAACTCGATGCAGTCGGTGCCAGCTGTCAGTGGGGTGCGTGCGTGCATCTTTTGGCCGTGTTCTCCCACCGGGGAAGCCGCTACAAGGTGGGGCGGGTGGGGTCCTTTCCCCTTTCCTCCAGGGTTCCAGGCAGCAGAGTTCGTCTCTCCTCCTCCTTTGGTCTGTGACCTTAGCAGTTCTGGGGACCCGTCTTTCCAGTAGCTTCCTAACAATGTTGTGGTGTTTTGTTAAGTCTAGTAGATCATGATACATTTTGTTGAACTCACCATGAATCATTCTTTCTCCCCAAAACCCTTCCTTATGATCTACGAAAGTCATCTTCTCTCCAGCGCGTTTTTACAGTGCAGATTTACTATTTAATTCCTCCTCCAGCCCCTTTGGATTTCAGAGTTAAACCACTACTCTGACTGTGGGTGTGTGAAATGAGAAGTGCTGCTTTTTTTCCCTCTGCCTGACTACAGGTACGCACCTAGGTGTGTGTGTATGTGTTTGGGTATGTGGGCGTGCATGTGAATTGTCTAATTTAGCAGAAAAATATGATGATTAAAGTTATGCAGAGACCCCAGGGCTCACGTTAATGATGGTTAATTTTTTACCAGTCAGACTTGCAAATGCATAAACATTACACTGTGTTTAAACAAACTATTTAAAAACGGAACTTTCTACTTGCCATACTCTAGAGAATGTCCTTCCAGAAAGTCTTTATGATCCTTTACTGGCGTCTTCAAGAGACGGCTCAGAAAAACAAAAGCCAGGCTGGCTGGTGAGAGAGACCCTAGATCTGAACAGAGTTAACCTTTTTACACTTTAGTGGATTCTTTGCTGAAAAGGGTTTTGTTGATTTACATTTGCATTAGAGTTGTCATTTGCTTAGTGATCTGTAAAAAGAGAGAGTGAGTATTTGAGGTTATTATGAAATCTTGAAATTTACAAGAAATTATATATAAAATGGCACACTTACGTTTTGAACAATGAATTTCCATACAAATAACCCTTTCCTGAATGAAAGTAATGCAGTGTCTGAGATGGAACCTTTTTATCTTCAAATACTTTATATGCTCAGTGTGGTGTTTAGTCACCACTAGATGTTTGTTTGTTTTGGTTTTTTTAAATTGGGACTTTGTCACATCCAGGAATGTTTACAGATAAACTTTGTCATGAGATCATAGTATAATGTACCTAGCTGCAAACAAAAACCTGTGACTGTAATTCTTGTAATAGGGAGAGAGGGGGATGAGACCGAGAATGCACTCTCTCTTCTTTCTCCTCTCAATATTTAGGGTATTTTCCAGTGGCTCTGAGCCATTCATTGTAATTCTGCCTCAAAACCTCCTATTGCCTAAAAATGCAGCTCTCGCAAGGCCATGGAGAGTTTCAGTAAACCGTTATCATGATAAAGCTGTCTTGCATACTCATGCCAACACTGCTTCAGTGCTTCCTGCTGTCATTGGCAAGTAAAGCCATGGGAACAATTAATCTGCTATGACTTTGAAGTGCCCTGCCCACTCTCCTTTGGGAACAGCTTTGACCATCTGAAGCTGAGTAGAACCACAAGCATATTGCTGTGATTTCTGAATGTTCTTTTTCTTACAGTAGGCTCCTTGGTGCATGTGAACAACTGAATGTTAGATATCTTCTAATCCAGGGGTTTTCAAACTTTGGGTCGGGATCCCAAAGTGGGTTGCAAGCCCTTTTTAATGGGGTTGTCAGAGCTGGCGTTAGACTTGCTGTGGCCCGGGGCTGAAGGCAAAGCCCAAACCCCACCTGTGACAGTGTACCCCATAAGGCTTTATGGGGAGGGGGTGCTTATAA